AAATTAATAAAAAAACAACAATTTTCTTTGTCAGTCAGAAAGTCTAAATATGACTCGGTTTCAGGTGAACAACTTTGATATTTGCTAAAACCATGAAAAAAAATGACTTGGGCACCACATGTTTATGTGCAGAAAGGGAGAGTCCCATTCCAATTGTTGATGGTCAGAACAGACAGGTATACTGTGCCAAATGAAGGGAACCTCACACTAAGGAGAATGTCAACAGAGGAGTATCTTTAGAGAAACCTGAGCTACATTCTAGCAGTAAAGAAAATATAGCACACAAATAAATGATTCTGGAAAGAACTGTGAGAAAAAGAAGAGTACACTTACATAAACTCAATAAAGCTGGAAGGAGTGAAACCAGGAGAGCAGTAATGAGAAGAACTTCTATAGGTACAGAGGACACGGCAGTAAATTGACACAGACACTCAACATAGCAAAGCAATCAGCATCCCATGCAGATAGGAGAGAGGGTCTGTTCAAGGAACACTCCTTCTGTGGTCTAATAATAAGATGCAACTCCAGAGGGAAAAGACTTCCCTACCCAACTTATTTTAGCATAGAGAACACTGAAACCTAGTGTTGAAAATATTAAGCAGAGAAATCTCAGCTGAAATGAAAGTCTGGTCAGTGGGGGTCCTTTTGACAAGGTCAAATCAACTTCCTTCTTTCTGAGCACTCCGTTAACTTGTACCAGTTTGAAATCAGTTCTCCCTTGTACTTCTATTTACTTCTTGATCCTGTTGATAGATTTTGTTTCACATGTAAGACCAAATAAATGGGTCAGTTTGAAATTTTATATGATTCAAAATATCTGATCAAATATATGTACTCTCCTCCTTTCTCAGCAAACTTCCCACTGGGATGAAATTTACAAGTATAAACAGGATGATACTAAAACCATAATGTGAAAATAATAAAAAGATGAAAGATATCAACAATTCCCATAATACAAAAAGTAGATGTGAACATTCTGTTGGGTGAGACAGAGAGGGAGAAAGCACAGCCCAGAATGAACTATGAGAAGATTTTATTGGATATGCAAGTGAAGGAGCTTAGTCCTTAGGAAGCTGTAGAGACTCTGGACTGAGAAAGCATAAGTGTGATAGAGGGCAGGAGGGACAGCATGTGGGGACCAATTGAAGGTCAATATGTGGAATAGTTATACTAGTCTCCCTGCTACTGGACTTATATGTGAGAAGCATAGTAGGCTAGCCTGTATGTGGGCACCTGATGTTCACTAAAGTTGAAATAAAGCACCTGGAATGCTATTTTTTCCTGTGAGTACTTAACAGAGCTAAGCCACCTTCAAACTGCTATTAGGTGGAAAGGAGAGGAAGAAACAAGTTAATAACCAGTTCCCTGCTCATTCATCCTAAAAAGAAGCATGCCAAGTAACATGGTAAGTCCACATGGCCAGACTACTGGCCAAGAATCCCATTCAGGAAGAAACTCTGTGGAGAACAGGGACACAATGACACAAGTCCATCCCACTACCCAGTTCTTCATTCTTAAATATAAACCAAGAACAAAGTAACACTAGTCATTAATAAGTACAGATGGCATCTCTTTCCACATCTTGATGCACCAAGTCATCAACTGTGAATATGAGAGACACCTCCCTCTCCACCCGATCCCTCTGGGTCTTCCCAGTGCACCAGGCCCGAGCACTTTCTGTATTGGTCTTTATCTTTCTGGCTTATTAATGACTAGTCATTAATAAGTACAGATGGCATCTCTTTCCACACCTTGACACACCAAGTCATCAACTGTGAATATGAGAGTCCTTATACCTGGAACCAAAGTGGTGGCAGAATGTTGTGCTTTATGGTCTCGTATGGAAATGTGTTTTGGAGAATGACCAAAGGATCTAAGAGAATAATATAATGGTTCCTTGGTCACTACTTTAAAAAAATCTGGAGTTTTAGCTTTGAATAATAATTCTTTATATTTTTTTAGTTTTTCTCTCTTATGTTCTTATCCTATATTATTTTAATTTTTCTAGATTGGTAAGAAATAGAAAGGGCTTCATGGTGGCTCAGATGGTAAAGAATCCACCTGCAATTTGGGAGACCTGGGTTTGATCCCTGGGTTGGGAAGATCCCCTGGAGAAGGGAAAGGCTCCCCGCTCCAGTATTCTGGCCTGGAGAATTCCATGGGCTGTATAGTCCATGAGGTTGCAAAGAGTTGGACATGACTGAGTGACTCACTTTCACTTTCAAGACATAGAGAAAGAAATTAACTTTTTAAATACACTGATTTTCAAGTCTACCATTTATTGAATGCACCCATATGACAAGAGAGTTCCATGCTAGTAGTAGGCACTGCTGGTGCTCAACCTAGACCCCCTTTTCCAGGCCAGTGGACCCAATTCCTAGCTGCTGCAAGCATTGGCTATGCTTGGCTCATAGCTGCCCTCTTTCCCAGAAAACTGATCTACACCAATAAGCATCACCTTTCTCCTGTAGAGTATACCCATGCTCCAATGAGTGCCTTATTCTAAGATCAGCTGTATGACCCCCCTTGACTTAAGGTGGGAGGGACCAATTCTGTGGGGCATTTCATGCTCCAGAGACCCTGATGAAGTCAGGCTGGATCAAGAGTTCTGCTCAGCCACATTCATCTTTACCCTCCTCCCCTCCCCACTTAACTTGCTTTTCTCAAAATAAGATGGGTGTCAGAAATCTCAACTTTGGCATTGCTAAGGAAGTCAACCTAAGACAATATGCTACCTCACATAATCATAAACCTATCCTGAAATATATATATATATATATATATATATGAGTATATATATGAGTATATATGAGTATAGCCTGAAATCTAGTCACTCATTAGCAACACAAAATAATCAGACTAGCACCACAAACCAGGTTCTTTCCAGTGGCACCAGAAGACACACAAGTGGAAAGAGAATTCAAGTATCTTGAGTTCAACACATTTCATGCTCTTTCTCACTGCCTTTCAAGTGCTTTTTCCCATGATTAGGAAATATATTTCTGAGTCATAAGTTTCCAGACTGAGAATTTGAAGCAAATTCTGATTCGATTACATCCTTCTTTGCATGCTAAGTTGCTTCAGTTGTGTCTGATTCTGTGCAACCCCATGGGTTGTAGCCTTTTATACTTTTGCATCCTTCTAGTCAGTGACTATGTGAACAAAACTGAGTAAAAATCTTAACTAGTCATTCACACCTTTTCATGCTCTTTGGACTAGACAAACAATGTCATGTCTAACAAATCACTACTCCAGCTTTACGACGACTGTGACTCCTAATTTTTTCCCTGGATCTATCTGTTGTTGTTCAGTCACTCAGACATGCCTGACTCTTTGCAACCCCATGGACTAGCATACCAGGCTTCCCTGTCCTTCACCATCTCCTGGTTCTTGCACAAACTCATGTCTATTGAGTCGTGATGTCATCTGACCGTCTCGTCTTCTGTTATCCCTTTCTCCCCTGCCTTCAATCTTTACCAGCATCAGGGTCTTCCAATAAGTCAACTCTTTGCATCAGGTGACCAAAGTGTTGAAGCTTCAGCATCAGTCTTTCCAATGAATATTCAGGGTTAGTTTCCTTTAGCATTGACTGGTTTAATATCTTTGCAGTCCAAGGGACTCTCAAGAGTCTTCAACACCACAGTTCAAAAGCATCAATTGATTTCCATCAGACCACGAACATTTTTCCCGGACTTTGGCATAAGTTACAAGACAATTCCACAGCACCGGTGAGTCAGGAGGGGGTGGATATTTATATCTTTGCTGGTATTCCCAGCTCCCCTCACCAACATTTTCTAAAGCATCCTCAATAACATATGGTCTTTGACAACTGATCCATGTAGGTCTTTAATCACCATAACTTTGTTTACTCAGAGATCCTTCTCAGGAAATCTGTATCCCTACACCCTGCTCTGGGAATGGGACATTCTATGGCTGTAGCTAATTCTCTCTACCATCCCAAGCCACACTCAAGTACATAGGAATCAATGCACTCTCCCACAAGGCTCACACCTGGAACTTTGAGTTCTACTCAGCCTTTACTCAAAAATGGTAACATAAACCTCTGATCTGAATTCCTGCAACTGTCTAGGCTTTTTGTTTCAACCAGTTCTCACCTTCTGATGCTAGTCCTTCCACCCACCCATCAAATGTATCCTAATCTAATCCATCAATGTGGTTGCAGTTGAAGGTGAAGATGAGGTGGCAGATCTATAACTAAAATAATTCATGACTTACAACTTTTTCAAAATAGTTGTTTAAGACTCCTTTCTGGAACTTCCCTGGAGGTCCAGTGGTTAAGACCTGGCCTTCCACGCAGGGGGACTTGCCAATTCTCATTCCACTTGTGTGCCTTCCAATCCCTGGTCTGGGGACTAAGATCCCACAAGCTTCACAGCCAATAAGCCAAAAATATAAAGTAGAAACAATATTGTAACAAATTCAATAAAGGCTTTAAAAATGGTCCACATCAAAAAAAAAAAAAAAAAAAAAAAAAATGTTCTCCTCTAGGAGTTTTATAGTTTCTGGTCTTACATTTAGATCTTTAATCCATTTTGAGTTTATTTTTGTGTATGGTGTTAAAAATATGGAACGCTTCACGAATTTGCATGTCATCCTTGCGCAGGGGCCATGCTAATCTTCTCTTTATCGTTCCAATTTTAGTATATGTGCTACCAAAGCGAGCACTGTTTTTCCATTTTCTAAAGCAATGCATATCAAACACCTTGAATAACTACATGAGGAAACAGCAAAATATACCAGGAACTATGAGGGAGTATCTCAGTTATCATATTAAAATATTGTCATATATAAAAGCATCATAATATCAATTCCAGTGAGTAAAGTTATGGTACAAAACTAGAGTACAGTGAGAAGATTGAAAAATATTTCAGTCATTCAGACCAAACTGTGTCTTTAATTTCCCTTCAGAATCAACTGTTTCAGAATTATGAAAATACTTCCCTAATCAATCAGACCTTCTACACTGTTACTCTTAATCCTCATTTACATCTAGAGAGGTAACAGGATGTCTGCGCCCTGCAGCCTAAGCTCTCCACGAGGCACTGCTGGGGCCCCAGCAGGTTTGGGCACAGGCTGCCGGTGCCTGGGGAGCACTGTGTGCTCGCTGCACAGAGGTAGGTGGCTGAGTCGCCGGGCTCGGAGTCTCTGATAAGCAGGGAGACATGCTTGTTGGCTTTAGTGGCCTGCGCTGTAAATTTTCCTTCCTCTTTGTCTTTGTCGGCATATACGTACAGCAGAAACTCGGGGCCTTTCCCAGGGTACTGTCTGTACCATTCGAAGTACGTAGAAGCACTGTCAGAATAAGTGCAGCTGAGAGAGGCGACGGCTCCCTCTGGGACAGGCAGAGATGCAGGACTCTGCTCCACTGTGATAAGTGCAGCTGAGAGAGGCGACGTCTCCCTCTGGGACAGGCAGAGATGCAGGACTCTGCTCCACTGTGTTCTGTGGGCTGCTCACCGCTGTGCAGAGAGACAGTGACTGGTCAGTCAAAGAAGATTGGTTAGGTGGTGGATGCTTCCTCTCCAGAATTCAAGTTATCTTTTCACAGGCCTCCCACCTCTACCATCCCTTATTTAAGAGAAATAGTGTTCATGTTTCTCCATGAGCCTAGAAGGGACAATGACTCCAAATAGTATATTTTATGGTCCCATAGAAATGCCCCAAACTTACAGATTAACTGAAGCCACAGGATCACTAATAAAACTCTTGAGGATTTCATCATTCTTGCCTCCTCTGGTTCACTGAGGATTCAAATTTTAAGTCCTAAAAAAAACAAANAAAAAAAAAAAAAAAAAAAGTTGAGCTCAGACATTTCAATTCTTCTGCTTTAGAAATCATAAAAAGATCCTGTTCTACCAAAGAAAAAAGAGACTTTTTGCATTACCCATGCAACACACCACTGAACTCCTCCTCTCTCCTCCCACTTTCTCTCTCTCTCTCTCTCTCCCCTCCCTCCTCTCTCTCTCTCTCTCTCTCTCTCACACACACACACACACTCACATGCACACAGAGGAAGGAATACATGAGTAGAGTCCCTGAGAAGACACTGCCATCTTGTGGACTCAAGACCCTGATCAAAGAAATATTTGAAATGTAGATCCTTACTATGGGAACTGATGAAAATAAAAATTTGCCACTTTAGTTAAATTAAAAATTTGAGAAGCATATGGTCCAAGTCAATGTGTGTAGGGAGAAGATGATGTGTGCATGTGTGTTTTATATCAAATGGCAACACTTGTCTGATTAGAAGCAGTTTTATCAAATGGCCACTTTCTCACGCTGAAAAATCAGTCCTAAGGTATTCTGGTGATAGAAGTCTGGGTGAGGCTCTCATGATTCAGGGGATCTGTGTAGCTCTTCTTCATATCAGGCCAGACTCTTCCTTTCTTATTTCCCCAATTTTATTTTTAAAGAAATGTAGTCTAACTCAAAAGAATCCTCTTAAGACACAATGACCTAAAATCTGACTGAACAAACATGTTTCCAGCTCACAACTTGGGCAGATATTTAACAAAGTCAAAGGCCTAATTCTTAATTCCATTTTGTACCACTGGCATATCTGTGTGGAAACATTGCTTACTTGGGCTGACAGTAGTAGTAGATGGACCAGCCTTCAGTACCTAGAGTACAAATAAAACCCAAAGGATGGGTTCATGGGTCTAATCTCTCTTCTTGTACACCGCCCTGGCATCTCAGGATTAATCTCCAAAGTTATGGGTCTGGTATCAGTTTCTCTAACAAGCTTCCCTGGTGGCTCAGTGGTAAAGTATCTGCCTGCCAATGCAAGAGATGCGGGTTCAATCCCTGGGTCAAGAAGATTCTCCAGGAGAAGGAAACAGCAAGCCACTCCAGTATTCTTACCTGGAAAATCCCATGGACAGAGGAGCAACAAAGAGTTGCTCCTGCAAAAGAGTCAGACGTGGTTTAGCAACTAGACAAGAACAGTAACAATCACTCTCTGCCTTTATATTGTACCCTAATCAGCAAACCAGGTTTATCAGAGGGCTATCTATGCAAGAAGCTTAATCGAGTCTAATGGAAAAAGAAGCACAGACAAGTACTATTCTTTCTCATTTCACTTCCTGCCTCATGCTTTTGTAGAAGCTAGTGGCTAGAGACCAGCAATGCAGCAGGTCCATTTCTGCTCAAGAATTAGGTAAACAGTATCCATCAAAGATGGACTGGTCAGGTCCTCCCTATTTCCACCGACGACTATGTAGGAAGCAGGATGAGGGAGAAGATGCTAACAGTGGGGTCCTTTTCTTTAAGAGAACATTGCTTTTGACAAAACTCACACAGCTATTTCTCACTCTCCTCCTCTTCTGGGAATCCTCTTATACTTACATCAGAAAATCTGACAAAGTCCCACAGGTCCTTTAGTCTCGGTTCATTTTTCTTCATTCTTTTTTCTTTCTGCTCTCTGACTGGATAATTTCAGTCAACCTATCTTCAAGTTCTTTCTCCCACCTATTCAAATCTACGATTGAATTTTTCTTAGAAAAATGTTCTCTGCATAACAATTTCTCTGCCCTGAGAGAGTGCTGTTATGTGACATATAGACAAGCCCTTTGCATTAGTCCTGAGGGAGCCCCGAGACAGGTTAGAGTGGTCAAGCTCTGTTCTTTCATGACCAAGAGCTCTGCTCCCTCCACCACCAGGAGCCCACACTGGGGATGCAAGCAGCTATCTAAAAACTGTCATGGATCCAGTGACGAAAAAATGGAACAGGATAAGTTAAAATACCACAGAGCTTTCCTACCAGGCGTCCATTACCTTTTACTTATGTGTTTGCTCGGTTGCTGCACAACTTTCTGTGGTGTTTGCCTCTATGTACAGATTAATGTGCTAAAGTTTCCTGTCTCTCTGAGCTGGCCTCTTCCTGGGCCTTTGGCTGTAGAGCGAAGACTTTTCATGGCCTTTTCTGTCTGCATCTGTTGGCGTTTCCAGATTCCTGGCTTATCCAGGTCTCACTTGGGTTACATGAGGCAAAAGGAAGCTCAGGGAACTAACTGCTCTATCATTCCTCAAGCCCCAGTTTCCTTAGCTAGTCTGATTTCTCTTCAAATTCTTATGTTTTTCTCTTACATGTGGTCCAGGGTTTCTAACTGTCCTCAACAGATTGAGTTAAAAAAAAAAATACACCTACTACAGCTTGTCAGAAGTGGAAAGTATGATGCTTCCTTCTTTCCCTGAAGAGTGAAACTCTGACCAACTTGGCTAGTCCACCTTCTTGGCAGCAGGCCAGTCAAAATGGTATTAAAATTATTTAATTGTTGTTCAGCCACCGAGATTCTCCTGTTGAATAAATATGGTCCTAGATTGTCAAGATAACTATGGTTTACTTGAGTACACTGCTCTAAGAATTCCCTTAAATGGCCCAGTAGGCCCAAAGTGGTGAATATAAATGATCTCTGTAAATGGCATGAAAATGCCCTTATTCCTCTTGCTCCTTATCATTCTATACAGAAGTTTTGAGTGTGATTAGGAAATGACTAGGAAAAATGGCAAAGTTATAGCTACTAGAATGATCACACCAATTTTGTGGTAGTGAAAAAGGAGCAACAACCCTGGTACTAGAGAAGAGAAAAGCTTAGACCCTGGAAAGTTTGTGTTTGCTGGAAGGGAAGACTGTTCATGCTCTGTTTGTATGCTAGACCCAGCACTGCAGCCTAAGCAGAACAACCATGTGGTCTGTGAAAACAGAAACATTGATATGAATATGGCTTGTCCTGGACTGTTCTTCTGTGCCTGACATAATCAATGGAAGCTGTTCAACATGGATTCCCACCCCCTTATGTGTACAAACTTATAAATCAGCCCACCTTTGTTTAAGTATGGCAGGTTCAAATGCATATGCTTTGGTGTCTGCCCATCTTGAATTATGTCTCTTGAATGACATATAACTTAACTGCTCATATAATTTAATAAGCGATGTAATGATGATTCTAATCAAGTTTAACAATAAATTTAAAACTGGACCAATCTGTCTCTCTTGGAGTTATATGTTTGTGTTTGGGAAGAAAGAACATCTCTCCATTGGGAAGGATGGTTGGTCTTTGGTCCCTTTTTAGAAATTAAACCAAAGACCAGTGTGACCAATTTCCTTGCATGGATCATAATGAATATTATACTACATCCAAGCTTTTTATATCCTGGACCTTATTCACAAATGACTGAATCTGGGATTCTAGGAGACATGACTGAGCTTAATCATGCAGATTGGTCTCATCCTGCTATATAAATTTCTGCTCACAATTGCTGTTTCTTCGCTAAGCTGTGTTCAGCTCTTTTATGACCCCATGGGCTGTATCCTGCCAGGCTCCTCTGTCCATGAGATTTTCCAGGGGAAACTACTGGAATGGGTCACCTTTTTCTGCTCCAGGGTATCTTCCCAACCCAGGGAACCCAGTGTTTCCTGTGTCTTCTGGATTGCAGGCACTTTCTTTACCACTGAGGTACAAGGGAAGCCCTACTAATAATGGTTTTAATTAAATGTTGTTAGAGAAAAATCAAATAGATCTAATCTCAGTCTTTGTCACTCAGAGAAATCAGAACAGCAGATGAAGTGGCAAACTCTCAAGAAAAATTTCTAGAAACTAATACAATTTAGAACCATGAAGTGAATGCTGTTGAAAGGCATTTCGCTGTGAATCTCTTACACTTCTACATGATGTTCAGGGTTTACCAACAATGTAAGGTCATTACCACTCAATCTGAACCATTTCCCAGAGTTGTGCTTGCAGCATGTAACCTTGATGGATGGGGTGATGTCTTCTCTGAGACAAAGAATGAGCTTGCTTACTGCTTGGTGAAAATAGCAATGAATTCCCCAAGCTTGCTATTCATCAGCCATGACACAACCCCATCGCATGCATAGCATCCATTTACACCCCTTAAGTCACCATGAGAGACTTATGGACAAAGGCAACTGAAGCAAATACTCTAGTGTTCATGCTGCTTTCTGTGTCCTAAGTAATGATGTCCTTCATCTCTGACACAGGATCTGTGACTTTACTGATAGCACCAAAGAAACAACAAGCTATTAGTCTGTAAGAGAGTAAGATCAAGGGGGAGGGAACTAAGACGGTGGAGGAATAGGATGGGGAGACCACTTTCTTCCCCACAAATTCATTGAAAGATCACTTGAATGCTGAGTAAATTCCACAAAACAACTTCTGATCGCTAGCAGAGGACATCAGACACCCAGAAAAGCAGCCCATTGTCTTCAAAAGGAGGTAGGACAAAATATAAAAGATGAAAAGAGAGACAATAGAGTTAGGGATAGAGATCCGTCCTGGGAAGGGAGTCTTA